CCCCCCAACCTCCTTCAACTGCAAGTATCTTGACTCCTATTCAGAACACATGGGTATTCCTTCACAAAACCCAAGACAAACAATCAAGATTTAAAGCAATACCAATAAGACCATATGGTCGCTTTTAAACACAAGGAGGCGATCCCGGAAAATGTTTTGAGAAAATCGAAGGTAACGTTTTTGCTCCTGGTTCAGTTTCTTTAAAAGACAAGGAGAGTTTTCTCTATAACCAAACAAATATACACACCAATGAAATCAAACTTCTCCTATAGGTAGTGCAATGCTCACTTTTGGTGTAGGTCAAGATTTCTGGAAACCCCCGAAATCTGGGTCAGCCCGCTTGTCCTTAAAAGCGACCATATGTGAGGCGTGCTGACAAGATATTGTCAAAAAATCGACACTAGCGCCAAATTAGTAGGTTTTCTGTAGATGCCATATTCTTTAAGTAATATTCTTTAATGCTTTACATTATTATTTCACACTTACAAATTTAAAAACTTCACCTCTAAGCAGGGTGTTTTCCATAGGGCTTGAATCTGAGAGACAACTCATTTTGTCAGTGCGATTCACATAATAGGTTCCAGAATTGACAAGCGCGACGCGACTCAATTTTGTATCTCCAGCCCAGTCTTCCAAACCTGCCCCTTAACCCTTAGAATCCACGAACCACGCCGGTGGCAATGCTCGTGATTAGTAGGGAAAGGTGGTTTTGGGGGGGGGGGGGGGGTTGGTGTTAACATATAATATCCTGGCACTTTTCTTCTTCTTTGTCTGTTGGTATCTAAAGTAAGAAGTAAGAATTTAGGTATGAGGAATCTGTCTACAAAGTATTGAAAACTTGTGTTTGGAAACCATTTTTATTTCTGTTTGCTCTTTTCATGGTGATTTGATTAAAAATATTCTCACTTCCAAGAATGCTCTCTGCAACATGGCTTCGGGCTGCGTTCGTTTCCATCTCTTTACTTTATCACTGAGTTTGAGTGAAGATAATACACTGGAAAAATGGTTAGCACCTCTTTTTGATATATAAAAAAAATACAGTCAAACCTGTGTGTAAAACGGCCACCCATTGTCAAGGAGAAAAGTGGCCATATAACACAGGTGGCTGTCTTAGCTTAGGCAGGACTGGTCAAACTGAAGAAAGCAAATCATTCTCTTCTGAGGTCCAAACCGGGGATGATCTCAGACTTTGGACTGCCGTACGGCTAAATCAAAAGGGTTTTGTACATGTTTTCTTTTGAAAAAGGGGGTGGGATGTGATGTAAGAAGGGTTTTTTCGTGCTGTTTTGTTGATAAGCTTTCTTTTTGCTGCTGATTTTGTGCTAGGGTAAAATAAATGAAACATTATGTAAGTAAGACGATGAAGACCTCGTGCCATGGTTTGTGGGTGAGGCCCGGCGAGGCTTATAGGTTATGACGGATCATGCTTCCCTCACCAGCAGTTTAAAATGTATTGTTAGGCCTATCCATTGGTCGACTTGGGTAAAAATTCATTGGAGGGACTAAAAATAATGACAGATGAATGAATTATGATGGCCCGTCCACAGCATGAGGGGCCAATTAAAAATTTATGACAAAACGTCGGGCAATGAGTGACCACGACTGGCTGCCTGAGGCAGGTAAATTTGACCATGGGTTGATGAAATAAGGTGGCCGCGGCCGCGTTGGATAAGTGCCCGCTTTACACAGTTAATTTATACAGAAAAAACGCAAGGGGGGCAATGGAAAGTGGCCGTATTATACAGATGGCCATCATGGCAGGTTCGACTGTATTGAAAAATGGTAGTGGTGACATCTATTTTACTACATATTTGGGAGCTTTCTATTTTAAGGGAGTAGAAATATATTATGTTCAAAGATTAGGAGCCATTATTTTTCTGTGACTTTTTAAAAAATACAATGCAAAACAAATTTATGGGTGGCAGTGGCAGAATCCATAAAATTTCATTTGAATTTTATAGAGTTTGCTTTTTTGTACAGGATGAAGTATCTTGTGTTGTACTTTCTTTGGTTTTGGTCTCAAAATGCGAGACTGACAATCTAGTTTGATATTTCCCTTGTTGTATTTCCAGTTCCATCACAGAGACCCTCATTTGGTCGGGTTGCTGACCAGTGAGAAACTTCCCCACAATAGAAAAGTCTACTATGGAATGATTGCTGATGGAATACACACTCACCCAGCTGCTCTGCGCATCGCTCACAGAGTGAATCCAAGTGGTAATAGCTCAGGGTTTTCTTTACGATGCACTTAAATGAGTTTTTTAGTGGCTTAACCCCTTCACTGCTATGTCAGTGTATTAATTTGCTCATATTCTCCAAAATTTCTTCCCAGTCATTTGTTTCTACTGGTGTATAGACGTTTTAAGAGATGATATTACAACTTTTGCAGTTGCTTTTTTTTCTTCAATAAGGGTAAACATTGTTTCAAACTATCTTGAATCAACATTTAAGTTGTCTCTACGAAAGTAGATGGAAATGTCTCAGCATTAAAGGGAAAAAATTCACATAATTTACAAAGACACTGTGTCATAAAACAATGTTAATGGTCTTGCAGACTCTATATCTTTTTTTGCCTTGATAGGATTGTACTTACCATTGCTTTGAATATAAAATAAAATGAGGCCCCAGCAAGATTCTAAAACTGGTAATAATTAAAAACGGCCACCTTTACTAACAGTACCAGCATGACCGCTGTTCCATAACACCCTTGCATTGTTCCTGTATTTTTTACCTGTCCATAATAGTTCTTGTCCAGTATGGCAAAGTTATGACCACAGCAGCTGGGATGTTTTAGTTTGTTGGCGGCCTTTCTTTTTCAAAAAGCTCTCGTGAGCTTAAAAGGGAATGTTTTGCCTAAGTCTTAATGCGTTGTTTTTGGTGGTTTATTTGTACCTCGTGAGAGTTAGATGTTACATGTAGTTAGTGACCCTAAAGGGTATAAGCAGCAAATTTAAAAAAAAAAAAAGTTAGTGACCATAACTCTGACCTTGTCCATAGCAGCCACCTGTTTATAACAGTCACCTTTGTCTGTCTTGAGTGACCATTATGGACAGGTTTAACTGAATGTATTACATGTAGGTACTCTTTCATATCTTCATGACCACATTGATATCTGGTCTAAAAACACATTTATTTAAATCCCATTTTACTAACTTTTGTTCTTCTTCCCAGAACAAGTGTGACCAGTAGCCACAGCTGTAGCCACAGTGATCTTCTTTTTGTGTGTGTGTGTGTTTTTCATCAGATTACGAATGTATACGTATTTGAAAGAGTTGTTGTACTTTGAATGGGTCAGTGTGTGCGAAAAGTTGATTCAAATCTGGTTTTGCTGTGAAGCGCCGAGAGCCACCTGGAAGTGCGCTTTATAGAAGTGATCTTTATTATTTTTTATTATTATTATTTTATTATTACAGGAATTGTCCTTGTAACTGATGCTATCCGAGCCATGGGTTTTCCTCCTGGAGAATATCCATTTGGGGAAATCACCATTGAAATCAAAGGAAACCAGTCTCTGTTGAAAGGTTCAAATACTCTTGCTGGCAGGTGAGTTTTGCTCTGGTAGCTGTTGTTTGTGCATAATTTGTTGATAAATTAATTGATGATAACCGTAACAACCCATGTAAGTCAAAAGGAGGTTAAGTTTTGTTTTTGTTTGAAAAGATCGCAGTAAACCCTCTTGCACCATGTCTTGATATAGTGCAAGTTTTGGATGTAAAAATAAAGAAAATCAGTTTACTGGGATGCTTGACACAAGCACACTCTTTCATTCCTGAAAGTATTAATTTCAGACGTACACGGCTTGCAACTGTTGCTCTCAGTATGTCTCAGTGTCCCCCTTGAGCCATGGATCCTTATATAGAGTTCACGTTGGCACTATAAAGTTAATTTGGAGACATAACTATGGCATCCGGCAATTTCTGAGATTTTAAAGTAAATTTTTAAATCCATGATCTTAGCACATCATGTGACAATGCACATTTGTATCAAAAGCAAAAGAAGTAAGCTAAAGAAGCACTGGCATTCATTTAAATAAATGAAGTTAAGAGAACAGAATCCTAGTGTATTCTGTATCCTGTGAAAAAGGCTTTTTCATAGTTGGCCTTTTTGGGACTGGCACCGTTGTTAAGTTAAAAATTGTAACTACTCCTCTTTATTGAGATCAATGAAAAGAGTAGCTCTCTCATCACTGAAAAAGTCCAAATGGAGATGTGAATTTTATTCTTATGCAAACAAGCCTTTCTCAAAATTCCAGAAAATGGTAGCTCCAAGATGCTGTGAATGTGGCTCTAATGAGGAATTGCTTGGCTGGAACTGATGTTACACTCTTTTGCCTTTGCTTGTTATTTGACGAGCCTACAGTCTGTCTAGAGGGAAAGAAGAAAAACGCCTTTTTGCCATCTCTGTCATTTGGCCAGGTGTACTCCAGAGATCACAACAGCAGATGAGGAGGAGAAGCAACAGCAACAGCAATAACACTTATAGTAATGAATACCGCCAACAACACCTGCAGCAGCATCAGTAGTAGTATATAGTGATGATGATTATTGAGTTAGATTCTCCCACTCCTTGTTGAGTCAGCATGATAAGAACTGAATTTTTTCCAAATGGTAGAGGATTTTTGTGCTTATGGTGCTTTTAGTACCAGTGGTGATTTTAATGTTAATACAAGCAAAGGAAGGGGATGGTTGCTGTGGCATGTTATATGGAGCAGGTACTTAAAACAATTCACATGTTTCCTGCTCATCTCTAAAGCCATAATATCTCACCAAATATCGTCTCGTGTGTCTCTGAAGCCAGATGTGCCTTGATTTTTAGCTAGAACAATGGAGCACTGCTAAAGAACAAACTCCAGTCATCACTCATCTAAAACCTGTGTTATCAACATTGCTGAAACCTAATTTCACCAACCACTCTTACTGCTGGAGCTCCCACCCGAGTGCCATAAACAGGGGCAATGGAAACATGGAAACTTTTATATCTGGGGTAGGAACATTTAGGAGTAATTGAAATGAAAACATTTAGACATTAATTATAGTGGTGACTTTAGTTGTAGTATGTGTGGGGTTCATACTAACTTCAGCTGCAGCAATAGCAGTGACCACAGATGTAGCAGTAGGAGTCGGAGAACCACACTTGTTGTAGTAGCAATAATAAAAGTAATAGTGCTGATGCAGCCAGTGAAAGCAGGGAAGAAAAGACAAATTGAGGGGGGAGGGGGGGGGGAGTTTGCATGCTCAATACTGTTCAACATTAATTTACCCCAATTTTGAACACAAATGTGGCATTGCTAGTAGATGCGAAGCTGTGCCTGACAAAATGAAGTGACATGTTTTGCTCATTCTGGACGTACCACAGTGCTCATGTACATGTCAACCTGACATTGTTTTCTCTGCATCTCACTAGATATTCTTTTGAACAATCCCAAACCACCCAACCAGTGGTGCACAACTACATGAACTATTGGGTAGAAGCGGTGTGGAAAGGATGACTTAGGGAGGAGAGATAGTATTAGCATTCAAATTGATAGAAGTCAGTTAAGAAGTATTTAAGTTAAAGCTCCTGTAGACTATAGGTGTGAGCTGTGCTGCTGTTGACGTTGCTGGGCTTTGGATGTTGCGGACTGGTATTTTTGTATTACATTTTGTGCCCTTGGTTTAGTGTCTTGCTGCCCTTGCTGTTGCTGCTGCTGTTGCTGTTGCTGCTGCTGTTGTTGATTCTGGTGATGCTGTTGCTGCTGCTGTTGTTGATTCTGGTGATCAAGATGTCACGTATACTTTTTTTTCACACTAATTGGTATGGACTTTTCACACCTTCGTGTACATTTTATATGTGTCAATTCTTGTTATCCAGGCTGAAAGTATACTAATTTTACTAGATAGTATGAAATGTTGCTTAGCTTTGAGAGTGAGGTAGACTATTCAGATGAAAGAGATCTGGAAATATGTGCTGAGTGCCTTGATGGATTGGCTGTTAGAGTTTGCTGACAAGCTAGACTCAGGGGCAGTGGAAAAACTAAGGGCATGTGGTATTTTGAAAGGGGATATGGTGGTCATTTTCCAAACGTTCTAGCTGCAAATGATCCCCATGGAAATGAAGGATGGTATCTTGTTACATAATACCTTTCTCTCATACAAATATAATAATAATAATAGATAGCATTTGTACAGCACAAATCCCCGCTCAGCAGCAAGCTCTATGCGCTTCACAATCTATACTATTACCCCAACAGACCTGAGAGCATTGTGAAACAAACTCAACTTTCTGGGAAGCATACAGTGCAAGCAGCCGTTTATGGACACTAAAGCACTAACATACTAACAAGATCTTTCACTGTCTATGGCCGGGTACCCATTTCCACCTGGGTGAAGTGAGGAAAATTCGTGTAAAGTGCCTTTCCCAAGGACACAACGTCGGGCCTGCGGCTCAAACCACCAACCCCGCAACCTCACCATTACGAGTCCGGTAGCCTAACCACTAGGCCACCGATGCCACAAATATAAAGCTACCGTAATGTTTTATAAAGGTTCCTATAATTTCCAAGATTATCACCTCACATCATCAAAATATAATGTTGAACTATGAAATGAAAGCATTTTGAAGCGCCTTGTTAAAATTCCTCATGTATGTGTTGGTACCGCGGGATCTTGACCAAGGTTGTGTGTTTAGGATAAAACTTACTCTCTTCCGACCAGACTTTACATTCGTTGCAGCTTTATACGTTGTTGCTATGGTATTTAAAGGAATCAGTCTTGGCACTGTTGATCATGAAGACTACTGATTTTTTTTATACCTTATGTTTATAGATTGCCTTACTGAAGGGGTCACCAAACTTTGTTTCAAAGTGAGCCATATGAATGAAAAAAATGCCAAGTACAGGCCATATAACTGTTTTGTTCAAAACAATACCCTGAATACATAAAAAAATAAAAAGTATAAATATTTTATTGATATATCAATACACAAAATACGAAATTCTTTTTAAAAAATAAAAACAACAAATTTGTTACATATTTTGTGGAATCTCCGTATGTGGGCGACCTGGCGGGGGGGGGGGGGGGGGGGTTGTGCTGGAGCAGGGATTGGCAGGAAATGTGTTAAATAAAAGATTTGTCAGAGTGAAGCAGGACAAAAATGTGATTCCTTGAAGTTATGAAATTTATTAAAGCAATTTTATTTTGCTGTGTAAAGTTCTATGAAAAGATTAAACTATTTTGGTGTCCGGGTCCTGAGCATGCTAAAAACACATCTTCTAAGGTTGTTTTTCCCCCACATAGTGGCCCATTGGCATGGCAGGAGACCAGATGAACTGGTATTGCAGGCAGGGTCTTGTGACCCCTGTCCTATTGCTTACGGAGATTTTACAATGTTTATTACATTCATTATTTATTTAGAGGTTCAGTATGGATCTGGAGGGTTGGCTTTCTGGTGCTACTGAGTTGTCTGTTGTTGTTCTGTGTTAGTGGATAGCTTGATATGTCAGTGATATTGAAGCCTGTTCCAATACAAGTCAATATGACCGGCGTTGTTACTGGTGTGGTGCCTGCTGGGCCCTCTGTCATTTTAAAGCTAAGAATGGGTTCTGAATGGAAGCATCCGTAAAGAAATCAAGATAAAAGGAATTCACTTTTTCACAGATTAATGAGGGCACAGTCCTTGCTCCAGAAATGTAAAGGTTTCATTTTATACCTCTTCTTCTGCTCTGGAAGTCAATCCTTTTTTTTTCTTCATTTGTAGACTAAGAATACTAACATCACAAAATTAACAATGGTGCCAGTAGCCTAGTGGTTAGGTTACCAGACCTATAATTGTGAGATTACAGGTTTGGGGTTCGAGCCTCACCTCGGTACGATGTTGTGTCCTTGGGGAAGGCATTTTACATGAATTTCCTATTTGCTTGGTTCTTTCGGAGATGAATATTAAACTTTGACATCCGGCCTCTTAAATAACCTTACAGTGTTGGTAGGGGTCTTAAACCTATACCATTTTCACAAAATTAATTGTTTTGTTCTTTTCTATTTTCTCAACCATTTTGAAGACAGATGTTACCATATTCAGGAACTATGAATGTAGTTAATTGCTTTGCAATTGCTCAACTGGGTTTCACCTGCTGCTGTTTCGTGAATGACTCCCTTTTTTGTCCTCTTGTCCTCCTAACATGTAGATTGGTATGACTCCATGACAGCTTAGTCTGAAGGATTTTATAACATCCTTGGATGTAGCACGACTGTTATGTGTTTCATAATAACCTATTAGCTTCCTTTCTGTTGATCCAGCAATGTATAAGCTTTCACCCTTTATAATAACTTGAAGCAATAGTTGCACATTCTTTTCAGTTGTTGTGTAGTTCTGAAGTGTGTGTTCCTCGTCTCTGATCTCAGAGCAAGAATGTTATGTTGTTTTAGTTCTGGGCAAAGGAAAAGATGATTTAGGGGGGGGGGGGGTTCAAGTGCACAATCATACATTTGGCACTTTTTGAGAATGCTGTGGCTTGATTCTGTTTTTATACCATATGCATTACACACACACATGAACAACAGCAGTCCAGCAAATATGCAAACCAGCATTAGGGTGAGCCATTGTCCATCAAAAAATGACTATACTCATGTATATATATAGAGATAAACATCTCTGTTTCTGGTGCCCTTGAGTCAGATAGACACTGCTGAAGATAGGCTTTGATGTTTGATGCTATCAATTCTAACCCAGAAATCCTCACAGATCCACAAGTACATTTATGTAACTCTGCACTGCAAGCCATGCACATGGTGTTTGTATTGGTTGTCTTTGCTTGTTTGTTTTTTTCAAGTATGCTGTTTAAGTTTTTCAATGTTTATCCTCGTATCTTGATAGCTGCCCTGAGGCTGTCAGTATACCTCAAGGGAGACAATGGCCCGGAGATGTGTGGAATGGTTTTCACTCATTTTTCATGAAGCTTAGCATTGCATTTTTTGGTTATGGACAGAAAGCATGCTCATTGTCTTTGTAATGTTTAATTTTACACTGCAGAACCACTGTCTGCATTTTTCATTTTATTTGCACTTGTTTACTTTTCATTATGATCATTAAAGAGCAAACACTTGTTGTGCTACAAATATAATTTCTTTCCTTTTCTGCTCTTTTGCAGCATTGCGACCATGGATTTCTGTGTCAGACATTTTGCGAAGGAAACAAGTAAGTGTATAAATACTATCAGTATGTAACTATTAGAAAAGCTATATCTCTACAGGTGTGTGAAATGGATTTCTAAGGAGGTGCATGCCAGTCTGAAGGACCATACATTAAGGTCCGGTTTTTTCCTGTGTACATTTTTAGATTTGCCCACTATGGCGATTTAGTCGTTGGTCAATTTTTAAGATTAATTTTAAAAACTTTGAGTTTTAGCAAAATGTGTAGGTCTACAGTGGAGGGATTTTACGGCTTCTTTCCTTTTTTTATTCGTAAATTATATGGCTTTTGCCTTTTTAAAAATGTTTGTCAAAAGCTTGTTCTTTATGTGTATGTGTGTGTGTTTGATAGTGTATTGTCTTACTATAAAATGTACATCTTACTTTGTATTTTCAGCCTATTACTATTACCTAAGAAAATTATATGATTCATCTTTATTGATTTATTGCTCTTTCAAGCACTTGTCACATTTAATTTCTTTCCTCTGCTGTCTGCATTCTCATCTGTCTTATCCTTTCCTTCACTAGCTGCCGAATTATTCAATATTGTATGTATTTTTGTAAAATGGAATAAACAGGCGGGCTAAATGAGTTATTTTGCATTGTTGTGAGACTTCAGAATATCTTTTATAATTTTTTCTTGCATGTTTTTGTTTCAGGTTGTGGATCTGTCTTAGCATTAGAAGCAGCGACTCTACACCCTGCTCAAATGTTGGGTATTGAGGACAGAAAAGGAACACTGGACTTTGGGGCTGATGCTGATTTTATCATGCTGGATGATGAACTGAACGTCCAAGCCACATATATTGCTGGAGAGTGTGTTTACACAAAACCCCCACAAAGTTTATCTGAGCAGCTTATGACATAAGTGGTTGTTTTTTTGTTTTTTCCTCCACCCAGTCAACTTTAATTTGGCAAAGTACAGCTTGTAAGATGATATACAACCCTGGAGTATTGATCCGCTTTGGCTTTTTCAATATTAGGCCTACTGTTAACTCTCATTTTTGATTGTCTCAAACTGCTTGTCTGTATTCAATTTTTTGGAACATTTGTAGTATACGATTAGTAATTTTCCTCCCTCGTGTTTGGAGAGCTATGCAGAATTTTTCAAGCGATTTCTTATGTAATTAATTCAATTTGTATTTGGCATGCAATAACTTCTTGCATAATGTGAAAGAGGAAATCTCACTTTATTATAATATGATCCCCCTGTGAAGGCTTCAAATCTAATCTGGCTTCTTCTAGTTTTATTCTAAACTGCTATTTAACCCAGTGTGCGACACAAAATGGAGTCCATAGCTCTCCCTTTCCAAAGAGGTGGTAGCAGTGGGTTTAGGTACTTAATGTGCTGCTGCTGGTACCTTGGGTCAAAAGATCTTCGACCAAATGACAGCTCAGGGAATATGAATAAGGACTATCTATGTCTTTTGCTGATTTTTTTACTCCGAGAGTTACTGCTGTGGAGTCAATGATAGAGGACGCATTTGAAGCATTTATTTATAGGCTATGGAATTAGATTGTCTTGTTTTCAATTGGAACCTCAGAGAGCTTTTAAAGCAGTAAGGACACAAAATTTGGAAACAGTATACAGCTGAGCATGGATATTTTGCCTGTTTTAAATTATCTGTGCTCAGATGTATCATGTACCTAATCTTGCATGTTAATTTGGTCTGCATTTGCAGCAAGAGATATTGTATAACTGTATCCGTCAATCATTTGGAATAATCCTGTACTTTAGTATTAGTAGCGTATTACTCTGGACATTCCACTTGGATTTTACCAATGTACATGATTATTTTGTAATCTTTTTTTGTTTTTCGGCATTCAGGAATACCCTTTCCTGACAAATTGAAGCATTTATAATGTCTCAGAACAGTTATGAACATAACTTGCTTTGGCATTCAACAAAGGGTGGTGGATTAACCCTTCAAAATGATCTTGAAGTTGTTATGGGCCCTAGTGCGTTAATCTGTTGGTCCGTTTTCCTGTCGGTCAAAATACAGTTCTGTTCAGGGTAGGCTACCGGTACCTTTTAAAATGCCCTGATCTGTTGGTGTGCATGTGGTTTTGTAGCCCATGGCTGCTCTAAGGAGAACTAATGAACAGATGGAGGGAAAAAAGCAGACTTACTGTGTGTATATATATACTCTGTCACATTTTTAAGTATACACATTTCAAAGCTCAATAAAACAAATTACACACTGATTACGTGATATATCTGTCGCTGGTGAGCTGTTTTCAGATTTCTGAACGCGTGAGTGGTTTTGTAACTGCATGCGTGTTACATGTTTCGTGGGTTTTTTTTAATTAATCATGACACAGCAACGATTTGTTTAAAAAAGAAGCACACATCAACGCTTTGCCATTTTTGTAACAATTCGCCAGTGATAAAACTTGTCTTGTCTACGTTTCATGATGTCACGCCGTACGAGAAAATGTGCGAAATCAGCTCGTTGGAATGATCCGCGGGGGGGCTCAGTATCCACTGTTGCGAAGAACTGTTTACACAGCAATGGATCGTGAGAAAACACCAAAATCAGGAAAGGATCAACACCGCCAACGTGGGAGAAGAAAAACTACTCCAAGAGAGGATCTTTTTATACGCCTGTCGCATGTACGGAATCGTTTCAAAACGGCAAGAAGAACCAGAGATGAGTTGAACAACATGCGACAACCCCAGCCTCAGACACTTCCTCAACTTGAGAGAGCATCGCATGAAGAGTGGAATAACATCCCTCAACAGGCAGTGCAGCGATTGATTTGATTCAAGGCGGCGATGATGTCAGGCCGTCCTCAACGCTACTGATCGTGTTACTTTTGTAGACCACCCCCCACACTCTTGTAAGTCTTGAATAAATCTGTTATGTCAACATTCCGTATCGTTGTTGCTTTTTTCGTTTTTAAAATTGATTGAACTCGTATTCTTGAAATTTTAAAGAATATCGACTCATTGTGAAACTAGCTATTATCATTTTAACACAGTGTATACTTAAAAATATGACAGAGTATGTATGAGCCTTTGCCAATAGGTGGGGGTTTCTTCATACACCTTACAAAATCCTTTCCTATTCCAATAAAAATTGTGCTACAGATTTGAAAATTGTATATGTTGTGCTTAATATGATGTTTCAGCTATGAGAGCATAGAAATAGCTGTCGGGTGATCAGAAGAAATCTTACAAATATTTTTAGTTCTGAATTCGATGTATTTTTAAAATGCAAAACATTACTCGTCGAGTTTGTAATTTTTGTATCGTCAACTTCAACAATGAAATAATTGCTGAGAAATTCGTCCTTCTACTTTGTTACTACTATTACTATAACTACATTACTTGTGGTGCTATATCTGGAATAATGATGTCTGTAGCTATTTCTTTTTTTTGTGAGCCTTCTAGATTTTCTTTTTTGAGCATAACTCGAGTAGTCATTTCGCAAGGCAATTTCAATTCACGGTGACTTTGTTTCTATCTGCCATTTTGGGGCCCTGGAACAAGCATAATATCATTCAGAGTTTACTCTCTGCCCTGACTGATTCCGAGGCTGTGACCTAACGTAATTTTGCAGGAAACGGAAATCCTGCGACGCCTCATACTCATGCTCTGGCATCATTTGTTATGTTTGAACCAATCAGAAAATGATAAATAATGGGGGTGGAGAAACGTGCATTGTTCCTGTTGACCCTTTCAAAGCGTATTGTTTTGCGATGTAAGACGGCGAGAAGAATGACGATGGATGGGACGAATCCATTTAAGTTTTTCTTATGTCATCATCAAATCTTAACATGTTATGTTTGAAAATGTAAACCAAATAATGATTAACATTGCTCTGCATTCCAATGGTCAAGTAGTGATAGATCTAGATGCAACCATGCGTGCTTGGCGGGATGTCAACGAGAGGGGAAAATTTGGTGTAAATTGATATGTTCCAAAATGACGACAAACATTTATCCACTATGTGTCATGGTTATGTTCGAAAGATATTTAATAATTTTCATAGAATCATAGTAAAATGTGAATTAAGTGGCGTTTTTTTTTTCACTATTAGCATGCATTATGAGTCAACTGAATCTCCTTAATCTTTGTTTGCCAAATTTTCCCAAAACATGCATTAAAATATGGAAATTGAAAGTTTTTCATTTCTTTCAGACATAACTATGATGACACAAATGCTAACACAAAGACATTCAGAATTTCTTTTTTCTGTTATTTTATATATGCTCTTCATGCTTACGTTTGAAAATTAAAGCAATGAGAAAACTATTAAAATAATTTTGTGTTCCGTAAATTACTTTGCGGAGTATTTTTCATTTTGTGTCATCATGGTTATGTTCGAAAGATATGAGATATTTTGCAGAGATTCATAGTAAATGTGAGTAAAGCGGCATTTTTTCATCATTAACATGCATTGTGAGCCAAACTGGATCTTTTGAATCTTTTGCCCAAATTTTCATAGAAGAAATTAAGATAAGAAAACGGAAAGTTTTTCATTTTTTTCGGACATAACTATGATGACACGAATGCAACCACAATGACATTCGGAATTTCTTGTTTCTGTGATCCTCACCATTTTATATGCTCTTCATGCTTATGTTTGAGAAAAAAAGTAATATAAGAAGACTGTTAAAATAATTTTGTATGTATAAATTCTAAAGAAATGTGTCATCATAGTTATGTCCGAAAGAATTTGACTTGACGTTACGTAACGCCAATTACACAGCGTAACGTGCCGTCTGTAGGTCTGTAAGTACATGTTTTTGTAGGAGGAGATACACATGAATAGAAAATTTCAAGTAAAAACAAAATATTATCATCAACCCTCTGTGCTACATTTTAGGTACCCACCTATTGGCAAAAGCTCCTATATATTATACACATGTACACACAATACAAGGATACGAGGATGTCTACTGAGGGACATGACCTCAAGAGAGACAATACAACAGATGTTAAAAGACTTATGCTAGTAGAAGAGTGAAGTTGGGATCAAGCTACATGATACAGGAAATGGATATAACAGTGTAGACATTTATGCCATACCTGATTAAACATCTTTGCGTTCACTGCAACCAGCATTTTCTGGCAGCCGTTCACCTGATTAGCCACATCACATACTTGACCATCTCTGATTAAGACAAAGAGTGTGGTCCGATATAGCTTACTTAAACACTATTGTCTGTTGTGACATAATGCATACTACTAAAGCCCAAGCCAGAAGGAATAAACAGGGAAGGGTGTGGGGGGGGGGGGGGGGGGGAGAATAGTTATTTTTTAAAACTATGGGGCTAACTATATTTCTCCTCTTTTTCTTATAAACGCTTAGCGGGTGTACATCTTTTCAGTACAGGAAATGTCTGTGTCCTTCATAGGTAACGATGTCGTGATGATTCAAATTTTTTCCCCACTAGTGTTTTCACTTGAACTGAATCTTACGACAAAAGATGTTCTTTCCTCCTCTTAACTTCGTAGATATTGAAAGTTTTATCTTTTTTTTCTTTATAGTTGTAACCATTCCAAGGCGAACTTCAGACTACAAGTGTGCCCTATTTAGCTTTCCAAAAGGAACCCTCCTCCCACAAAAATGTGACTGTCGTACTGTTGTTTATCGAAATGACCTGTTTCATTGTCATTTTGAAGGCCCTACACCATTATTACTAATGATATAAATGCTCTTCATATAAATTTAAAACAAATGCATACTCAAATTCCCTGAACAAGCTTCAATACAGCTTTAATAACTACAAAATATCAAGACCCGTTTTCTTTTACAACGGTTTTATCAATGACCATTTTTTAAACTGTTTTATTGAGATGCACAAATGGCCAATATTTATATTACTGCCTTAAAACCATTGAGCTTCCTATGATGATTGTTTTATACTTTTTTTTTTCAATTGCATAATCTTGTGTATGTGAGAGTAGATCTACACATACTCATAAAAGCATGTAAGTTGGTGGTGACCCAGTATGTGTATGTGTGTTGGGTTTTTCATTTTTATATTATTTTTTATTCGGTGGTGGGTTTTTTGGGGGGGAAGTTGTGTATAGATGGAGGGAGAGATAAGTTAAAATTAAGAACCCAACCACAGCATATCAGTACAGATTTGGTTTTTTTTGTATGTTTATATTATAATTTGATGCTCTATGGGCTCCCCTATAGCTCGGTTGATATCATGCTATGCTATAGAGTTGGTTCAATTACCCGTATTTGAATTTGAGCAGGGTGTTCTTGAAGTATTTTAGTACTTTATTTTCAAAGCTTTCCAACCACCTGGCTCTTTCCTGTCATAATTGTAATTCAACAAAGGTCCTGTTTCTTATGTGACCCCGTAGTGTTGATTGGTGCAGTAAAGCCAAATATATCATATAATGGTGCTCCTTCCTGATGGGTTTGGGATGGAGGAGTAACATCATTTGTGAGGCAGCGTAGTGTAATCAGGCGCTCGTCAAAATAACGACATCCGAAAAACCGGCATTTATCTGCCAGTTTGGAAATTTTGATAGAATTTTGGGGGGGCTTAACCTCTTTTATGTCCATATAACAACACATTTCCGTGTGAATTTTACTTTTTAAAAAACATTGATTAAAGGCACAAAATATGTCATTTTTCAGTTTTCAAAGACTCTTTAGCTATTGGACTTACCGAACTTTGGCAGCCATTTTCTAATTTCACCACTGAAACCAGGCAATCTCACTTCCTTCAATCACAAATATATTGTTTTCTGTTCAAGATAAATGGACATTTATTTCCTTGGAAGCAAGGCAAATAAATCAGCTTTCATATGATACCAATAACTCCTCATGCCCATAAATTGACGGGCGCCCGATTCCACGCGTTTAGTTCTAGAGCTACAAGTAATTGTCTAGCAAGAGAAGAGTAAAGCACTTGAATATCAATGTTCAGTTGTGCATGTGTGGTATACAAGTACTTATTTTGGTAGACTTAATGTCTGTGCTTTGTTTGTTCCATTACTCTTATACTGCTCATCCAATCGCTTCACCTCCAAAACTGATTTAGTTTCATGTGTATAGGCAGTATAGGCCATCCATCAAAGAAACTAAAACAGCTCTTTAAAATAACCTTTGATTCCCTATAAGTTGAACTTTCAGATTTTTATTGAAACTAAGATGATAAACTTCCATATTTCTTTATGTATTTTTTTTTAAAGTGTAGAAGCGTAGTATCTATCTAAAGCATTTCTCCCCTAGATGAA